AGTTCCCGCTCACTGGCTGAGCGAGATGCGGGGGCAACACCGAGGGTTGCGATCTCGTTGCCGGTCCGGTCCAGTACGGGCGCGACACTGAGGGTTGCGATCCGTTGCCGGACACGAAAAAAGACAAAAAGGAAAAAAAAAAAGTCAATCAGATTGCAACATTCACTCAGGATGCCTAGTAAATAACACTAAAATCCTGTACACATAAAACATTTCTTCTGAGGATCTCAAAGAGTTTTATAAACATTGCCTTAATGGCTCATAACAGGGATGATCATTTCTAACTCACATATGGGAAAATCAGGGTCATGACATACACCATTCTCCAAGGCCCTCCAATAGTCTCCTTTTTAAAAAAAATGTTTAAACATACCATAACAATAAGTCATGTTTTAGCACTAAAACTTATGACAAATATTCTGCTTTGAAATAAAAATCTTTTTTAACAAAACTTCTTAACGGATATTTATGAAGAAGTTCAAAAGTTTCAAGGTGATCAACAGTAATGAATCAAAACTAAAAAGAATTCAGTACAGTTATTTTCAACAGTGAAGAACATGTCAACCACGTAATTTTCTCCCCACCGCACCCTCCCCCATTTGCCCTTTCTGGAGAGAGAAAACTCCAAAACATATGGCCCAGGAAGAAAATCTGTACTCGTTTATAGCAATGAACTGGCTTTTACATCTCTGCAGTTAGAGTACGCAAATGACTTCACAGGCAACGGCTTCCGTATGTTTCATATTTTTAACATTGACCGTTCATTATAAAGATTCTTTGATCCCAGATCAAATGTTTGAATCAATTTTCTCTACACTTACTCAGAGTCACCATTATAAAAGCTCCCCTCTTCCCACCTCAGATGTTCCAGCCGTTCCTGCAATTGGAACTATCTCCATTTGTCACCTTCTCTGTGGCACTTCCCCCCTTTGCTGTGGTTTTTGGCTCTGCTTGTTAACCTCCCACACAAAAGAGGCAGTGATAAATAACTGTGGTACATAATAAGTTAACTACAATAACTAAGATTTCTCTAAGGAATTCAGAGATATCTTTAATGAAACTGAAAATAAAACTGAAAGCACATGGTAAGTATATGGTTAGTACAAAAACTAACCCTTTTCCAATCGGAAACAAAATCCTCAATAGGTGAGGCCTTTGCCTACATGTAAGAAAAATAAAAATAACAAGGTAAATATATTTTTTAAAAACTAGAATATATTTCTGAGATTACAACTTAAAACTGAACTGATACCTAAGGCCTTAAATAAAATCAAAAGACCAAAAGTCTAGATAAATAGTAAAAACATCAAATTAAAAACAATGTCTAGGCAATAATAAAAATTTAGATTATGCCTAACATAAAATTATTCTAAATGATTCCAAGGCCTTTTCTTAAGGCCTTGTTGAGGAGTAACATTGTAAATATAACCTTAATTCCTAAAACCTTAAAACATGAATTTTTGCAGAAAGGTACTCATTAAACAAAGGTTAATTTGTAGAAAGAAAGTTTTAAAAGACAAATTAATTTTGCAGTAGCTTAACTATACTTGGGCCTAATTAAATTAAACCCAATAGTTTTCAAAAATGAAGGAAGGAAGAGAGGGAAGGAAACAGGCGGGGACAGGAGGAAGGAAGGGAGGAAAAAAAATAAATCCCAGTGTTCAAATCCTTTTAAAATTGATTTTTTTTTCTTTCCCTTTTTGTTCGAGCTGGTAGACAGGTTAAGTTTTAGGATAATTTAAGTTACCATGATTCTTCATGTCAAATTATAGCCAGATACCACAGTTAAAAAAAAAAAAAACATACTGAGTGTTAATTTAGAACCCTGCCCTTACCATTTATAAGTATGAAAATGGTATACTTTTAGGTCCATTTTCATACTTATAAAAATGGTAAGGGCAGGGAGTCCTAAGTTTGTTATGGATTTAGCATCACTGTTCTAATAAGCAAATCTGAACTCTCCCTGGCTTTGTACAAAATTAACTGTTGCATATATCATCCGCCCATCCCAGTGATTATGGATTACCTTGCACACAGTAGCAAATTGTTGGTTATTTCCTGCTGCAATTACGAGAAAGCCGTCCTTGGTTTTAAAAGCCTAAAATAAATAAATACATACATAAATATATGTTTATATGTTGACAAGACCACAAAAGTTGGCTTTAATTTCTAAAACATCAATACAGAAAGCTCTTTCTAAAGCTACATTTTTAATTAATTTGATATCAACTAATTAGTATTTTTTCGCTTTTACTTGCATAGTGTTTTCATTTAGAATTTTCAAAGCACTTCCTAGCTCTTCTACTAACTGTTATAACATAGAAAAGAAAAAGAAAAAAAAGGTGACTGAGAAAAATAAAGAAGATACTGGAGTTTCATTATAACTCATTTCATGAAATTCTGTATACATTACAGAATGGATTAATGTTAAATTTTTCAAAGTTTTCTGTTTTGTTATTTTCCATTTTTCCTCATAGGGCAAATAACATTGTATGGCAAAATGGATTGTTTTCTACAAAGTTTTAAAGAAATACATGAGGAAAATAAGGAACAAAGGAGGAAGGGAGGGAGGAGAGGGATGAGGAAGTCAGAAAGGAAGGAAGGGCGAGTGAGCTGATGGAGTTCCATTTCTTCTTGGAAGATCTCAGACGTGAACTTCTGAGCAATTTTCACTTTTTAGTAGTGAAAATTGACACATCAGGATCTCTCTGGACCTCATGTGGCTTTATGTGCCTGAAAACACCTGTCCCTTTTTGGAGATAGGTTCAGCTGTATAGCCACAGACCCTTAAGTGGTGGGCACTCCCACCGCCCCCAATCCTTACCCATCTGGAGAACTTTTCAGCAACCCCTTCTCCATAGGATCACAGTGCAGTAGGAGGAACCGAATTTGACCACAGAAGGCCTCAATCCTACTTTCCCAAAGTAAATGAGATCTTCAAATTTCCTTTCTTTCTATGTACAAATTGCTCTGCACCTTCGCCTACTTTTTGTTCACTTACTCCTGAACTCATGTATCTTATTATCAAGATGACTTCCATCTTCCTTGGCAGGGCTTACCTATACTGCTGACCCTGGTGCTACCATTGACAACATCCTCCAGAACCTGCTCAATCATCTTTCATCCTCTCTTCATTTTCACTGAATCCTTCTCTTATGCTTACATACAAGCTCAGGTCTCCAATGAAAATATCATTAACAGCAACAAAAAAATTTCCATCAATCCCAACACCTCTCTCAAGCTCTTGAACCTTTCTGCCTTCCCTCTATCTCAAAATGACATAAAAGTGCCACCTGCCTATACCGCCTCACCAATACCATATTCCGATGCCCTTGGTCATCAGTATTCTTACCCTATCACTAACTAAAACTTACTTTCTTTCACATCTCTGTATTATTGGGTATTGTTAAGCATCCCAGCTCTTTCAGGAACCTGTCTCATCTCTAGGCTCTGTCCAGGCCATCTCCTGTCTCTCTGACCTGTCCTCCACATGCCCTTTAGACAGGATTTTCTTCTCCTCAGACATCAGCAACCCTTAAGTATCTGTCTTTCCCACACCTATTTCTTGCAGTAGCTAATAGCCACATGTGGCTATTACATTTAAATAAACTAAAATTAAATTAGCCAGTCACAAAAGACTACACATGGTGATTCCATTTTATGAAATATTCAAAATAGGCAAATCCACAGAAACAGAAAAAAGATGAGTGGCTGCCTAGGGCTGGGGAACTTGGAAAGTTGGGGAGAAATGGGGAGTGACTGCTATTGAGTAGTGGGTCTCTTCTTAAGGTAATAAAAATTGTGGTGATGCTTGTACAACTATTAATACACTAAAAATCATTGAACTATGCACTTTAAATAGGTGAATTGTATGGTATGTGAATTATATCTCAATAAAACTGTTATTTAAAAATTAAATTATCAATTCAGATCCACAGTCACACTAGCCACATGTCAAACATTCAAAAGCCACACCTGGCTAATGCTACTGTATTAGCCACAGGTACAGAACATCTCCATCATCACAGAAAGTTCTATTGTACAGCACTGGAGCTGGAAGACTGCTTTTTTTCTTCTCTTAGTCTTCCTAGCAGGGCTAACATGATATCTGAAGAATATTAGGCAATTAAGAAATGGTTGGCAAATGTTAAGGAATCAATCAAATGATTGTTTCCAGATAATAGAATTGTGGTGAAAATGAATCTCAAGTAAAACACTGTATAACAAGATTTTATTCTATTTACATTGTTGCTTATTTTGGCAAGGAATGCTATTAAGAAGATATCACGTTAACTATTTTAAACATTTTCCCTTGTCCACAAGGACAAAAATAAAGTTGGTGTCACAGATAAAGCATTATGTTTCTCAGACTACAGAAAGAGAATCTGCAACAGAGCTGCGAGTGAGGAACAAAGGATTTTGAGCTGAGACGTCTCATGAACTGCTGATAACTGGGAAGTTACATAGGTTGTTCATTTGCTTGCTTTTTGTGGGCAAAGTGAAGGGTGACGTGGGGATTGGATAGGTAAATGTAAAGTTACAACATGTTGTCCAATATAATGTAAAGGAAGTTTTTCAAACTTTTGGATCAGTGATATGTTTAAGTTTGCATTTTCTGGAGTGTTCATTTCTTTTTAATAAATGAAGAAATGCCAGTTTCTTCCTTCAGCCTCCACCATATCATGAAATATATCTCTACCAATATAAAAATGAAAAATTTTCAAGCAGAGATAACTAGTCAATGATCATCAGAAAGTGAAGACTTAACAGCAGCTGAGCCACCAGAATATAATCAGACTAAAGAACACCAAAGAGATTTTGTAAGGATTAAGGTAAGATTATTATTAATTTTTTCAATTATTATTTGTTCTCTTTTATTATTGATACAGTACTTATTTAATAAATATATTTTAAATATGAGCTTTTTAAAAAATAACACACTATCACTATAGAAAATTGGTCAAGTACAAAAAAATAGGAGAAAAAAATTACCCATGATACCATTGCCCAAAAGAAATAACTTAATAAAACAAAATACTTCTTTCTAGTATCTTTGTATTCATTTTTACATAATTAATATCTTACTGTACATAAACTTCTAGCCTGCTTTTTTTCATTTAACATCCTATCACAAGCATTTTTTAATGTCACAATCATTTTTTAATGACCCAAAATATCTATTCCAAAATTTGCTTAAACATTCTCCATTAACTTAAGCTGGACGGTATTTTTGTTTTACTTTCAAATCAAACCCTATATTATACAGCTAATATCACAAATACAAAATTATTTAATTTCATAGTGAAACTCTGAAACAAAATGTCCAGCCTAAAGGAAAAGTGCAGGCCACATGAGATTTTATAGTAGGTGGACCTAATCTTGTCTTGTCTGGGGACTGTGAAGCCAGGAAAGATTCCCTAGAAAAGTGATCTCTGAGTTGAGACCTAAGAATTCATAGGCATTACTCAGGTAAAGAGCTGGGATAGGGACATCATTGCTGAGAACCTGTGGGGGGAGGAAGCAACACCCATGAGAGAATAGGAGGAAGTACAGACATGTGAGGCTGTGGAGACAGGAAGGGAGCCAGGTGAGGTCAAAGGCCATAGGAAATATGTTATTTATCATACAGCTAATGAGAAGTCACTAAAAGGACTTGAATGATCATGTCCACATTTGGAAAAGACCTCTCTGGCTTCAATGTAGAGAAATGATTGGAGGATAGGACTGGAAATAAGTAGGCCAATTAAGAGGCCGCTGTGAGGATCATGGCAAAAGATGATGGTGTCTTAGATGAGGGCCCTGATGATAGAGATGGAAGGAAACACATTCAAGAAATATTTAGATGGCAAAATCTACTGGAGATGCCAACGAATTGAATATGATAGTTGGGAGTTGAAGTCTGAGGGAGAGGAAAGTCGTGGATGACACTTGGATATCTAAGGAGCTTCTGAAATATTCCAGTGGAAATTTCACATGAGTAGGACTTGGGGACCAGATGAAAATCTGAGCCATAGATAAAAACTTCCAGAGAGTAAGATGAGGACTGAAGAATGCCCACAAGGTGGTCTTTCATTACTTCAGCAAGATGTGTCCTGGTGTCCTGATGAGAAGAGAAAGCATTTTTGAGTGGATCAAGTACTAAACAACAGTTAAGGAGATGCAGAGAGCACATGAAAACATCTGTGTGACAAGAGTGGCTGTGAAGGGGAGAAGCGAGCAAGGACACAGGTGCCACTGTGTCGGTCTGGTGGTGGGAGGCTGAGGAATTCCCCCTGGATGCCTCTGCTTTCCTATAAAATAAGGGGTAAGGTCATCACCTGAGAGTACGGTGGGGAGATATGAGATGAGAAGGCTGAAAAGAGTGGAGAAGTTCTGACTTATCACTGAAGAGAGTGGGAGAACGCAGTGACCAGATGAACACAACTGGAATGCTGGCATGTTAAGAGGCCAGTTGAGTGATTTTCCCCATCATCTCTCAGTTACCCAGACATATAATAAATGTATATTAACATTCACCAGGTTTAGGGTTTTGCCAGATGGATGTGGCAAAAAGATACAGGTGTAGGAAAATTAGAAAACTAGCCAGGATGTTATTAAGCAATGAGCCATGAACTATCTGAATAAAGGAAGAGGGTGGTAAAGATAGGAAGAAGTTATAAATGGGGCAAAGGAAGAGGTGTCAGTAGATCAGAAGTCCTGATGAAGTCTAAGAATAGTCATGATGGGAGAATGTGAACAGGCAAAGTGGAAGAAGAGGAGACAAGGCCTGGTCAGAATGTAAAATGCTTCCTTCAGTGATTTTATGAGTGAAGTGATTTCAAGTTAGGACTAGAGCCACTGTGTGAAGTGCATAAGGTAGTTGCTGATACGAGGTAGGGAGTCAACATTCGAGTATATCATGATTATTAAATAAATACTAATATACAAGGTCCCACATAAAAGGAATTCCCCAGTGTATTCTAAGCCCTTAGGTCCTGACTCTCAGGCCCTCACAAATCCTGCAAACCACTCCTCCCCCTCTCCTCCTCATTCCCTTGGTTGCCTCACTCTTCATATCAGGCAAGACAGCGACAGCATGCCATGTGCACATACACCCCTAG